CGCGGCACCACCGCCGCGGCCGCCGCTGCCGCCACGGGCGTTCTGCTGTCCACCACGGCCGCTGCCGCCACGACGGTTCTTGCGCAGGCTCTCACCGATCTTCTGCTCCTTGATGATTTCGCTGAGGGGCCTATCGATGATTTCCATTTCTTGAAGTCGATCCTTGCTGTTTTCCTTTCGGTTATTGTTGTAGAGATAGACTGTGTCAATACGCTGTTCTTGGCGTCAGACGTATCTTTGTTGCTCTCGTTGGATGCCTGGGGTTGGACACACGTTACCAGTTAAAATCCTCTTGGATATGGAGTTATATATATATATATATGTATATATATGTTGTTGAAGCAGTAGTAGCAGCAACAACAGCGCAATGCCAACCAAAGCCGTGCATTCACCGCGTGTGAAGCGAACGCGTGGTGGGTGGTGAGGTCGAGAGCGAAAAGAGAGACAATCAGCACCACAATCCGGCGGACGAGGCGAAAAGGAGAAAAAAAAGACGGAGGAGGTCGTTGAGTTGAGTTCGAACCATGACAAAGCTGAGCGTTATGACTTCTACCAGGCCAGCTGATGCAATGCAGCGGACACGCGTTGAGAGGATCAAAGAGGAGGGACCACGAGGCAGGAATGTAGGCTTCGGGCGCTTTTCACTCCTGCTCATTTGTTTTGGCTTGTAGAGAGAAACGACAACCACCAACCACAGAAGCAATACGACGCGACGCAAGATGCGTACACACGTACATGAGCATACGCCCCTCCCCCCCCAAAAAAAAACAACAACAACATACGTGTAATCGTATGGATCTTCGTTCCTCCGGCATTGCGTATTTTATCCCCTCCTGCCAACACCGCGTAGACGAAAAATAATCATGCGCTGGAGTTTCTCTACACCTTCCACTTTACTCCTCCTGCCACTTCGGCTCGTGCCATTGCTATGGATCGGAATAGTCAAGCAAATGAAGTATCTTTTGACCGTCCCTACCTGCTCCCTGATAAAACAGGTCTCCCCGATGATGCATACGGTTGCAGTGCGCGGATGCACGCACATGTGGCCCGTCCACCTTCACAGGAAAAGAGCACTCGAGGGAAGAGTTAGACGCTTTGGCTTCCTGCTGCTCCACCGCATCTTTCCATCCTCCTCTCAGTATCACACATACACGTACACAGACGCTACTGTGAGAGATGTCCCCGGCACCACGGCCACACAAGAGACCGCGATTCACGGTAGCGCGCAGGTGCCAGCCCTTTACAGTCAGTTATTCTCTCTCTATCTCGTTCGTAAACACACACACACATAAAAATGAACCATATGCACCATTAGTGAGCACACGCACAGCAACCCCCAACACGAACCGCTGGGAATGCAGAAATAAAGAATATATCAACGAAGAGGAAGTCAGACGCAAAAAAAAAAATCAATTTCCCATGCGAACATGAAGACTGTAATGAGCAGTGCCTCAAGAGACCCTTCTACCTAGAGTTTCTTTGCTTTCCCCCCCTTGGTCTTTGCTTTAAAGCGTCAGCACGGGTGTCGGAGAGAATGACCGCAGGCATCACAGGCGGTCGCGTTACTCTGGTTGAGGAGCGTGCAGCGGGGGCAGCACACGACATCCGACGCACGCGTCTCCTCGCGCACGGGGGCATGGGGATCGTGGTAGCGTGCCGTCGGCTGCGCCGCTGCCGGCCGCGGCGAGGAGACGCGCCACAAGTCGTCCAGCAGACTACTGCCGCTGTCCGTGATGTTGTGCGGATGCCTCACTTCCTTCGGCTGTGCGGGAGATGGAGACTCTATGTCCTGGTACACCTCATGGCGCCGTGGCGTGCCGTCGTCCTCTCCTACTGCACCAGCCGTTGTTGTTGCTGCTGGAGCGTCGTGATGAGCTGCTTGGTTTAAGCGCCCTCCCCCTCTCCCTCTTCCTGGTGCTACTGCCGCGGCGTGAGCTTCGCGCAAAAAGAGAATTTCAGCCATAAGGCTTTCATTCTCTGCGCGGAGCTTTCGGATGTTGATTTTATACACCTTTTGCATGTCCTCTGCCTGAATCTGTTGAATGAGAAGCTTCGTCTGCAGCTCCTCATCACGCCTCTCCTGGTAGTCTAGCATCGCCTCGAAGAGTTCCTTGACGTCGCTGTTTGTAGATGTGGAACTCGCCAGCATTGTCGCAAAGCGGAGTTGCAACATATCCTTCTTGGACGTCTCCTCTTGAAGCTCCTTCAGACGCTTCTGTAGTTCAGCAACGTCGTTAGGGTTGGCCTCGTAGCGGCGCACTAACATTTCCTTTTCCGCCTTAAGTGCATCAACCTGCTTCTGTGTTTCTTCGACCTTTGTCCTGTACTGCTGCAGATGTGTTTCCCTCTCTTTAACCGCCTGCCTGAGATCCATTATCTCATTCTGAAGCACGCGTCCCTGCTTCTCGTGCATATCCTGCTGTTCCGCCAACACCAATGCTTGCTCGTTGTCCTTTTCAGTGAGTGCCCTCCTTGCCACGAGCAACTCATCCTGCATTCGCCGCAGATCCTCCGTCACCTCACCTTGCTTCTCGGTCCTGAGGCGCGACCGCTTGTCGGCCTCCTGCTGCAGCGCACTGAGCTGTTCGGTTACGGCGGCGTGTCGCTCCTGCCACTCCTTTGCGCGTGCCTGCGCGTTCGCACTCGAGGCATCTGCCGCCTCCCGGTCTGTCAGCGCGGCGTCCCTCGCGGCGATGGCGGCGTCGAGGGCGGTGCGAAATTCCGCAACTTCGCCGTCGAGTTTGTGACAGCGCTGCTCCGCCTCCTCCTGCGCCCCGCGTGCTTCCTCCTCGGCGCGATTGAGCTTCAGAAGCTCCGTCTTGAGCGCGGAGTTCTGCTGCTTGATGGTCTCAAACTGCTCGAGCATGTCGGAGGCGGCCTTGCGCTGCTCCGCCAGCTCGAGCAGTGCGGAATGGACGCCGTCAAAGCGGCTGTACGCGGACTCGAGCACCTCCAGCTGGTGCTCCTTCTCCTGCAAATGGGACTCTGAGAGCCTCAACTGCTGCCGCAGCTCCTCATTCTCCTCGCGCAGAGACTGAAGCCGGTCTAGGCCCTTTTCGTGGATGATGGCGCGGAGCTTCTCCACCTCAAGCAGAAGCTCCTCGTTCCGAAATATAAGACTCTCCATGTACGCCGCGTCGCTCGCATCGCGGTTCACAGCCGACGCAGTCGGCGAACCCGACATTCGTGTTCTACTATAAGTACTCACTCAACTTCCACATCGCACATGTGCGGGTATACATGCATGCGTGTTAGCGCCCAAGGGGATAGTGAGAATTGAAGGCAAGAAAAAACAACAACGAAAAAAACAACAAGAGAGACATAAATTTGGTTTTAGACGCATATATATATGTGTGTGTATACACAAATGAACGGTCGAATGATGAATGTACGTATATACCTAAACGAAAAAAAAAGAGGTAATTCAAATATATCATTGCAGTGGGTAGATATTCGGTAGGCCAGATGTCTGCCTCCGCTCCGTACGCACACACAAAAAAAAACGGTTTCTTTTGAGCCTTGGTCTATCGATTGCTCGTTAACAACGGCGCCTATACCGAGGAAAGCATTCCTCCTATCGGTACGCACATTGTATATATATATATATATGCTGTCTGTGCATGATTTGCATGCCGTTAGTCATGAAAGAACAATCGTATTGCATTTGGTGCACATTCGTGATATTTCCATAGCTCTTTTTCTTTCTTTGTTTTGTACTTGATATTTACACTCTTGAGGAATTCTCGGTGAAACTCAGAATTCCTCCCTATGGGCGCATACCTCCTGTGGCTCTTCTAGGGCCGTTTCTGGCGCGGTAAAGACGTGGAAAGAGTCGGGACGGCAAGGCTGCAGAGAGACTACACATCTGATGCTCCTCTAGACCCCATGGCTTGAGAGAAATTCGCCCGGCCACTGAGACGAACCTGCCCATTCTCCCTTTGTAGTGCATATCGCTGTTGCTGCCGCTGTTCTTGTTGTTCATGTTCTAGTTGCTGCTGCTGTTGTTGTTGGCCGGCTTCCCTGTGGCCACCACGCAACACGCCACCCTCATTTTCTAATTGCTGCTGCTGCTGTTGTTGTTGTTGGCCGGTTCCCCTGTGGCCACCACGCAACACGCCACCCTCATTTTCTAATTGCTGCTGCTGTGGAGCCCCGCTTACAAAGTCCGAAGCACGGTATGTACGGAAGAGATTTGGAGGGAGTGGCGCAGAGGGGCGCGCCACAATGGGTGGGCCACGCCGCGACATGACGGGCTGGACCGGGAGCGGGTACCCGTCGCACCACCACTTTCCGCGACAGAACCACATATAAAGAACGAGTGCCATGGCCGTAAAAAAAACTATGCCGAAGAAGACGAAGAAGAGGATCAACCACCACGGGCAGCATCCGCACACGCCAATATTTTGCCCCCACGGGTCGTCTTTTTCCATGCACGTGGTGGAGATGCCGCAGCGGCACTGCAGCTGCTCGGGTGCGGAGTCCGCACAGAAATATTCCTCGCCCATGTAGTAAGTTATAGGGGAATACCTAAAAAGCCTCCTGTTGACGCCTCTCAGGTCAGCGAGGGCGCGGCATCGGTCCTTCGCCAGCACGCCCTCAGCTAGAGAAAGTGCCGTAATAAGTGCATATAAAGTGGTGTGGAGAAGCATCTCTTCGCCACGAAGCAAGCAGCACGGCAGATGGCTGGCTAAATCGAATTGACACGAAATAAAGAGAGAAACAATAGGAGTGAGCCGTGCAGGGCAACAATGGAACATCACACGAAACCCCAAATAAAAAACAAAAACAAAATGAAGCATATGATACTGAGTCCAGCCTCGGATGTGCGAATGCCAGAAAAACAACACGTAGGAGCTGGTGGGCACCCGCTTCACGTACGCGCTTCACTCCCCCGTTTTTTCTTCACCACGCCGCCTCAAGTGCACATATATCACCGCGTTGCTGCTGCTGCAGTGCCACGTCGCCCCACCACCAGCACAACTGCTCGTCGCAGCCACGCACGGCCACCTGCAGCAGCCCAGCGTGACAAGGCACATCATCTTTCGACCCTTCCCTCGCATCAACACCGCGAAACCGCAGCGTCGTTTCCCACTTGTCACTGGAGTCTAACGAGGCGTCTTCCCGTGGCTTCAGCTGTGCTGTACAACTTCTACACACAACGGTGGCGCCACTTGTACTGTGCATGATGTGGTCCGCCACCTTCTCACACCACACGCAGTGCGCTATCAACGCCAGGAGGTGGAAGGAGCGGCGCTGGGACCAGCCGACCACCTGTGACACATGTCTTTCTTGTGCCACAGCCAATAGTTGGAATCTGAGAGGAATAGTGAAAAGTGAAGGTAACATCATATTCGTAAGGAACACATCCAACCCCAACGCCCCCCCTGTTGTTGCCACTCCTCCAGTATCTTTTTCCAGCTCCCAGAACAACAGTGAACATGTGACCCCATTCTCGTCATCCACACGCTGAAGGTGCCTGTTGCTACTGCTGCTCATGTCACAGGAACACTGAAGCACAGTGCCTGTGACGCTTTCTCTGACGGCAAGCATCACCTTCACGGGATGTGCCAATGCTGCCACGTGTTCGGCACTTCGAGGGAGAACAAGAAAAGTTGTGGCACCGTTAGGGCTCGGATCATGTGTACACAGAGTGAATGATGCCGCTGGGCTACGCTTCGGAAGGTTCAGAATAAACAGTGCCTGCAGAAGTGTGCGGCGCACAGCGAAGGGATTGACAACAGAAGAACGACTCATGTCTTCTGAAGAAGTGAGTTGAGCCTCAGACGACGGCGATGAATGTGATGGTAACGTGGACTCATTTGGGCATTCGAGGGAATCTTCATTTGCACTGTGATTATTGTTATGACGTTCAGACTTCTCGTTCTGCTGTTTCTCATCCTCATTCCGATTCTGGTGTGTGAGCGCAGATCCGGACTCCACGACTGCCGCCTCGAAGTTCTCCTGGAAACCATACAGCGCCAACCCAACACCACTGAGCGGAAAGGACGACTGGCCGTCGGCTTCCGCCTCGATCGGAATGGGCAAAAACAGCGGGTGATTGCACCGAACCGAGACGCTTGGCGCGTGCTCGAGGGATCCGCATGAGAAGCGAAGGTAGCGCGCAGCCCGCTCCTTGAGTGTCACCGGAGTTGGCCCGCCATAAGGGTGCGGCACCTGCCCCACAAAGTGCAGTAGATCGCAGTGGGCGGAGAGGCAAATGTAAGGACTTTTGCTACTACCATTGTTGCTGTTGCTGTTACCAACGTTGGTCGTAGCGGTACCATTTGCCGCCATTCAAAGTTGTGCGCACACGGTCTTAGTATTATATATATATATATATATATNTGTATTGAGAGTGAGCGTGTAAGTATGTGAGTGATAGAGATAGAGATAGAGAGAGGACAACTTCATAGGAGGGACGAAGGATTATGTAAAAGACGACATGACCATATTCCCATGCTTCCACCAGAAAGATGGCAGTGGTGGTGACTTTTGAGGGAGGGGGGGAAGTGTACGTAATTACGCAATGGGTTATGCGCCCCAGCCTTGCGTGCTCAGCAATTCGCTAGACGGATAGAGAAATAATGTATGCGTCAGAGAGATAAAGAAAAAGAACGAGAGAGGAGACGAAGTGGTACGAAAGAAAGGAAGCAGTAACCAAGATGCTTCCCTCTCTTGAGCCTTTCACACACACACACACACACACACACACACACACACGCACAACCTCAAACTTTTCTCTTCTTATCTCAGGTGCCGTCCACCTCATCGCTGTCGCTGCCGAGTGCATTCGTGAGTGGCTCTGCCTCTGTTGGGGAGAGAATGCGCCCCGTGTCGACGAGGCGGTTGAGGTACTGCTCCCTGTCGTTGGGCGGGGACGCCAGCACCGCCTTGCACAGGCGCCGAAGCTCCTCAATCGCCTTGTTGTTGGCCTCATCGTCAGGCTTCCTATACTTGCGCCAGACGCAGGCGTGCAGTGTCGAGCGCAGCGCGTGCAGTGCGGCGAAGGAGCTCGGGTCGATGTGGATGCCGATCCAGCCGCCGCCGACGACACAGAGGCCGAGAAGGCGGTCAAATTTCATGTCAGCATCGCCCACGCCGAACAACAGCAGCGCCCACAGGCTCACCGCAGAGACCTGCGTGAGGAATTCCTCCCGCGACTCCTTCACGTCAAAGATGTTCTGGTAGATGTACAGCATCGACGGCGTCACGGGTGTGTTCCCGTCAGCGTCACGCTCGGGGTTGAAAAATTCCTGCGGTGTGAGAACGCCGTGCATGCGCGGGGGCCCGAGGCGGCGACACGCGCTGTCCTTTGATGGCGAAATACTGGCGTGCGTGGCGGTGCGCATCACCAGCGTCTTGACCTTCTTCCCACCGTGGAGCAGCGGCGTCGGGTCGAGCACAGCGACGTTGGGGAACAGTGCGGCGCATAGGCACGCCTTCACAAGTGTCACATCGGCGGCATCGATGGAGAGTGGTCCGGACTCAACATACAGAAGCGATGCGCCGTCGTATGCGGCGAACTCATCGTCGGGGAGATCGAGCGAGCCTGGCTCACCATCTCGGATAAATCCCGAGCGGAGAAGGATATCGCGGTACTGCTGCTTGTAGCGAGAGATGAGCCGCATGTTGCTCAAGTGCAAGTAATTCTCACGGGCAAAGTTTATGTCTCCGCGGCGGGCGCAGAATGCGTTATACGCATTCAGCACACTGATGTGGTCACTCTGCGATCCCATCGCCAGCACGTGCCGCCGCTGTCGTACCTCAAAGGAGACTTCACGACTCACCGCAAATGGGCTGATATCTCCTGTCGCTGCCATCGTTAGGGCCGAGTCAAGGCAGCGTAGCACAGCACCCATCATGATCATCTTCCCTACACGCGGGTCGCAGGGAAGCCGTGAGAGGTACAGCCCCAACGGTGTCAGCTGCTCGTCGGCTGTGACTGCCCCCAGACTCTGCAGCTGCCGCATTGACACTGCCACATTCCGCTCCGAGGGCGGCTCAATGAAGGTGCGAAGCGTCTCCTTGGGCTTCGTGTGCCCGAGAGCGAGGAGCTTGAGCAGTACTTGTGTGAGCGGCACGCGGTGGATCTCTGCCTCCTGAAACGAGGGTAGGGCACCCCAGATTTCTTCTGTAAATAGCCGGTAGCACACACCTCCCTGTGTGCGGCCAGCACGACCTTTTCGTTGCGTGCAGTTGGCGTGACTCGCATACTGTAAGGCGAGCTGAGTCGCGTATGAGGAGGCGTGACTCGCGTGATGTGTGTCAGCAGAGCGCGAGACCCACGAGGTTTGCTTGATGAGACCAGTATCAATCACCACTGCAGCGTCATCGATGGTGATGCCACTCTCGGCGATGTTTGTGGCAAGCACCACTTTCACTTTCCCGCCCGGCGCCGGTGCGAAGCACTCCCGCTGCTTCATCGCGTCCACGGAGGAGTGCAGGAGAATCACGTGATACCTTTTCCCGTCCCGCAGGTTTTCAAGGGCCTGCTTTGCCGCCACCAGCTCCTTCCAGCCGGGCAGAAACACGAGTACTGACTTCCCATGGGTGTCGTTGTTAAGGTCCACCGCGACGCTCCTCTCAATGAGGCGTGCGATAAGACCATAATCTGTCTTAAGTGGACTCAACAGCACTCGCTGCTTCGCTCGAGGGTTAGCACCACCACTTCTGCCGCGACTCTGCTTTGCGTTCTTGTCAAGAGCATCAAACATGGGGCTGTAATACCCAGACATTGAGGGTGCTTGGTGGAAAAGTTTCGCCACATCGGCCAGGTAACGCTCCTTCACTGGGTAGAGAGCGCCATCGATAGAGATCACCGGTATGTTTCCAAAATACGATGCAAACATGTCAGACTGCATCGTCGCACTCATGAGGACAACCTTCAGACGCTTGTTCCCACACTCCAGCAGTTGCTTCACCAGAGCAAGCACCACGTCACAGTTGATGTCTCGCTCGTGCACCTCGTCAATCACCAGATGGCTGACCGCGTCCAGTGCCGGCATGCCAGTGAGCATTTGTAACAGTACACCGGTGGTACACAGGGTTATGTGGCGGCCGGGCCGCGCATCCAGGCGCACTGCATAGCCCACATCGTTGCCCACCGCATCGAGCCGCTCGCTGGCGATGCGGTCCGCAATGCTGAAGGCACTTAATCGCCGAGGCTGGGTGACGACAATGCAGCAGCGATCGCCACGGCCCGCCATGATCTCGCGGTCAAGGATATACTGTGGGACCTGCGTCGTCTTGCCACAGCCAGTTGTGCCACAGACAACGACGACGCGGTGCTCATCAATCGCATCGAGAATACGCTGTTCAACAGTTGTGATCGATAAGCTCGAGCGACGTGTGTGGAATCGCTCAAGGTATTCAGGGCTAGCCCGAAANGCACACAACCGCTCGCGCAATCGTGCTGCGTATGCCTCATCGTGTTTCGCCTCCTCCAGCGCCTTGATAGTGGCTTGCGTCTCAACATCCACTACATCATCAATGCTGTTGTTGTTGTTGTCGTTGTTAGTATTATTCCCAGTGTTATTCTCTACAAACACGGATTCACAGCTGTCTCCTCTGGTGACCGGTGTTTCACTGCTGTCCGGCAGATTTAGTTCTTTGCGGCACTGCTCCACAAAAACATGAATTTCGTTCCGCAGCGACTCCGGCAGCTTCGCAGTCGGGACAGTCTGCGGCTGGAGGTTTGGGTGGCGCGCAATAACGCTGTTGATGCTATGCAACCGCTCGTCGTATAACTCCATCTCGGAGAGCGCGTTCTCGAGGGCTTTTCGCTCCGCCTCAAACCTGTTGATTCCATTTCCCACGCACCGAACTCCATCGAGCTCCAACTGGCAGGTGTAACAGCTCCCCTCTCGCGTGAAACTTGCGACAGGCACGACACCAAAGAGAAGCGTGAAGAAGTCCAATAACTTTGCGTAGCGTGGTGTGAGGCTCAGCGCGACGGCATCAGCAGGGGCGCAGCTCCCACGGCCTGTCACCGCTGCCCCCCCAGCAGCAACAAGACTCCGTTGCTCGTTAACGAGCTTGAAAATGTTCAGGGCGTGCATCGCGCCACGCTGCTTTGCCTCCTTCGCGGTCGAAGCAACGCCTGTTGCGTGCAGATGCGCCTCGCTGTCCAAGATGAAGGTAGCCACGAAGACCCGCGGTGCCATGCGAACGACGTTCACGTCCTTTGTGGCCCCGCGAATCTCGTTATTGAGCTGCTGGAGAGCCAAAAAGTTGGTAGAGCGCGCCTGCTCCGTCATAACCGCCGCTCTGTCAACCAGAGGGTTGCCGCTGGGGGGAATGCGCAGCTGCGCATACGCCTCGGTGCACCTCTGCTGCTCCTGCGCCACAATGTAGCGCTGACTTTCCCGCACATAGTCGTCCCAATTCTTGTACGACCCGGGCTGTGGCGGTGCAGCGGCGCGTCGCGTGACCGTCGTGCTCTTAGAATGCAGCTTCTGCACGACACTTGGCGCGCCGTCTTCCTCCTCGAGCGGTGGTGGGGCGGCGCCGGCCTCCGCCCCATCAATCGAAAAGTGATCGATAAGCCGTATAGCGTGCATACAGCAGAGCACCTTGGCTCTCTTGGCGCGCTTCGACTGACCCACCGCACGAACAGGCCTGTTCTGCACAGTGAAGTCCAGCACTGCACGCTTCAACGTGGACCTGGGAACGTTCAAGATGTGAATTGCCGGGTAGGTAGACGCGCCACTTGTCGGCAGCGGCGATGCCGATGTCGAGGATGACGTGCCTTTTCTCTGAAACTGCTTCTTTAGGAACGACTCGATTTGTGAGACCGCACTCATATCCACCTGAAGCGCCGGGATGGGGTGGAAGTGCAGCCGCGTCGTGGCACTGCTGCTGTGCCTGTTGTAATCTCTTTTCTGTTGGCGGTGGTGACGAGGGCTCGACAGAGTGCCTCTGTGTAGCCACCTACCGGCGGCCGGGAGGCTGAGTGCGTGGAGGAGGCGCCGCATGCACGTGCCCGTGTGCCACAACAACTTGCCTCACTCACAGCAGCACCGAAATCCTCAGTATTCTCCTCAACGGCAGGGAAACAGTAGAGAGTGACTTGATGGAGGTGTGACGGGGTGAGAGAACAGAGAGAGAGAGAGAGGGTAGTGTGCGCAACGGAATGGCTTCAAAGAAAAACAAAAGGAACAATACCGTATACAACATTGCCTATACAAACAGAGAAACACACACCACAGCTGAATTCCCTTCGGCATCGGCATGCAGGCAAAGAGAACAACAAGATCGAAGACGCACACACACTCAGAAAGATACTTCTACCCACGCAAGTTAGACCGCAATATGGCTTGCTCCTCTTCCTCCTCCTCGCGTTGTGCACGGAGCTCATTCAACGCCCCGATACGACTTCCGAGTACCTTCATCGGCTTCTCCACGTACACCCACTCAGAGCTAACCATGTAGCGGTAGTAGAAGTAGATGCACGTCACCAAAGTGACAAGAACCGTCACAAACAGCTTCACGTTTCGCAGCCGCTCAACGCTCATGGTGTGGTAGAGTGTGTTGCGCTGTGTATACAGCCCGACAGAGACTGTGTCGAATGTGTGGACGTTGCAGTTCTGCTCGTAGTACATACCTCGGTCCTCCTGGTCCTTGAGCACGCGGCGCTGGTTCTGCTCCACGCGCAGCATTGAGAGCTCGTGCTGCCGCTTCAACTCGAATATCTCCTTGTCGCGCGACAGGATCTCGCGAATGAGGTGCTCGCGGTACGCATTCTCGTCCACCACGCCGGCTTCGCTGCTGCTGCTGTTGTGTCTCACACGTGGCTGTGCGTGCGCGACGGTGGCAAGGCAGCCGACGAGGAAATCACCCGCATACCTGCGTCGCATTTCAATCAGAAAGTATTTTGAAAGTACTCTTGCTGCGCGAGACTCCAGTGATGCCCGGGACGCACTTGCCAACCACAGGCCGCGCCAGTGATCCACTAAAAACAGCTTCCACCACACCAGTCCTTCCTCCCACCGCTCGCCTTCGCAAAGAAATCTCAACACGAGATTATATATTTGTGTATGTGTGTGCGTACTTGGGTGAAAGCAAGCACAAGTGGGAAAAAAAAATCAGCAAATGAAGCGTCACAAGAGCGCGAGCGACATGGGTGCGGGTGAGAACGCACGTTTCAGAGTGCTACTCAGAACGTGTGCAGGCAACATCCCCCATTACAGCAGCATTGAAAGCGCATGAGTACAAGTGTGTATATGTGTGCATGCCCTCATATCTGCCTCCGTCAGACGCCACGCGGTTGCATGTCTCTACATCGTGATCTGCACGATCTCGCCGTCTGTCATGCGCTGAATGCGCCTAATGACGCCAGCAAAGCGCACGAGTGCCTCGCGCGCACGTGCTGTGGGCGGCGCGTCGCCTGTCGCCAGTAGACCCCGCACTGTCGCGTAGTCGCCCGAGAGCAGCGGGAAGAAACGCTTGAAGGCGGCCCAGCGCTCCCGCACACGGGTGCCCACGTCACCGCCGCCACAAAGACACAGAAGCTCCAGCGTTCCGAAGTCGTCAATGCCGCGGCGCAGCACGACAGGTAGATCATTCACAGCGTTGAGCACAACACGGCAGACACGACGCTCAAAGGACTGTATGTCGGCGAAGGTAAGCGCATCACGGTCAGCCACCTCCGCACCACTTCCCCCTGTGTCCGCTGCCGTTTCTGGTGATTCCGTTAACTGCTCCTGCAGCTGATGAATCTGCTCCTGCTGCTGGGAGAGAGTCGACCTGATCTCACGCATACTGCGGAGGAGTTCGAGTTTCACCGTCTCTAGCTGCTCTAGTTGGGCACGCAAATCCTGCTGCTCCGCGGCAGCCTCCCTAGTGCTGCTTCTGTTGTTATTGTCGTTGCCGCCGGCCCCGTTGCGGCGGCTGCGTGCCAGGGCGGCGTCCACGTCCAGCGGCACCGCAAGATCGGCGTCGGTACGCTCCTGCAGCCGGCGCTGCAGCTCCTCGTACTCGTGCTC